TAGATTAAATAAGCTTCCTAAAGGCATTGTACCTCAATGATTCACTATTCTTAAAGACATTACAACAAGCCATTCTTATCAACATACTCTATATGATCACTTTAATCTATCTCAAACAAACTACTTTTCTTATATTACTGGTTACTTTAGCTCTAATACCAAACCTTGGCTACTTACTGTTCTTAATAACTAAATAATTATTGGCAAGGCCAAAAGACATAATACTTCTACAGACCTTACTTTTATTACTCACTAGCACTGCTCATATCAGTTTCAGTTATTAAATCTATATCCTATTTCTTTCTTTATTACTATATTATGTTTCAGATGTTATCTTAATTCTAATACAATTGCCAATAAATGCACTATTTTTATTTTTACAAACCTGGTTACAAAACTATTCTGCTGTATTAACACTGACAAAACTCTTAACTTATATGCCAATTTCTTTGATATTGCATACTCTGTAGCTATTTGACATCCTTTATATATTCCATCCTCTCCTTTACTAATAATCAATTCACAATGATTACTAGATATTTATTAGTCTAATCAACTTACTGATAGCTTACAGTCTATTGTTAATTTCAATCATAACCTAACTACTATTTCATTTTATACTGATGATTCTGTTATCAAGCTTGATACCCCTCAATGCTCTATAAGTATAGATTAGGTTCAAGTTGATAATTCTGCAAGTATTCACACATTTTAGATACAAGTTAAACTCTGGCTATGCTCTTTTAAAGTTGAAATCCTTGCTATTTTTTTAGCAATTATAACTGCTCCTAGAAACTGTTTTGTTTATATCTTTATAGACTTACAATCTGTTATCTTCAAATATTATAATATCTGCTTATTAGCATCCAAACTCTTTTATACTTATATTTTATACTTCTCTATTTGGCAAACTTTTATCAACTTCATTAATTTATACAACATTCAGCTTACTTTTTACAATATTACTGTATACCAAAATGACCTATTTAATAATTTTGCTGACCAACTTACTCATAGTTACCAAATACTAATCTTTTTAATATTTTTAATTAATAATCCTTACAATCCTGTCTATACTCTATTTATTGACCAATTTCTTATTGAGATTCCCATTTGATACTGTATTTGTACTATCTGTCAAGCTTACATTATATCATTTTGGACATTCCAACATTATTTTCAACAATGGTCTACTATTGTCTCTAATATTAACTAAAAAGCCACTTGGCTTTATATTAATAATAATCAAAAGGTTTTTAATTTTGTTTATAGTTTTTATTCCTCTACTCTAAAAACCTTCTGTATTAAAATTCTCTTAGATAAATTACCTGTTCTTTACACTCTTCACAAATATAACTTCTCTCACTTTTTTTTCTGTCACTAATGCAATCAAACTAGCTCTTTATTACACTGGACTCTTTGTTCTTCTACCCAAACAATTTATCACTTAATCTTTAATTCTTTTAATTGCATCTTAAATACTACTGCTCTTGACATGTTCTTCAATCTTGTTTCTAATTTACATCAAAAAATTCTCACACTCAATAGTTTAAATTGCATAACTCTTTACACATGCTATTTCTTATTTTTATTCTATCTGGATTAGTTCTCATTGACCTTATTTTTATTATTTATAATATTTCTATTTCTTATTATATAGCTATATTATTTTTTATTAAATTTCTTCTTCATTTAAACCAACAAATATACAAACAAATATGAATTTCATATTACATCTCATATTCTGCATAGTCTCAAAACACACTTATTACAAATTTAAATTATAGTTCTTTTTCTAGTCTATTCTCTATCTCAATACCTCAAATTATTATCAAAATTGACCTTTGGACTATCCAATGGATTAAATATCATACTCCTCTCTCTTATATTATTACTAATACCCAAATCTAGATGAGCCTTGGTCACTCTTGTAGGTTTAGATCACAGATTATATATCTGAGTCTTTATTCTTCATATGTAATTTAAAAGCAAACTTTTCTTTGTAAAAACTTTAATTGAATTTTAATAAAGTTAAAGACATGACCTTACCATTAATATTAAAAAAAAAAAAAAATTTCTAATAAAAAAAATCTTGCTATTGTTTTTTTTTTTTTAAAAAAAAAAAAGTCTATTCTTTATTTCTTTTATTAATTAGTTAATTATACATATATGTAAAATATATGATGAAAAAACTATACTAGAGGAGATAAAGGTAAAAGCTACTTTATTCTTGATTTATTCTTTACTAGAATGGTCAGTAAACTTTTAGTCTTTAATAAGCTGATGAAAAGAAGATTGTTTATGCATAATATAGGGTTGTATCTTTTTATTTAATATAGAATATGAGATTGGTATAGTATTAATTAAAGTTGATAGTTGTACTAGAGGTAAAATTAAGATAGTCAGTTTATATTGTATTGCTCTAAAAATAAGTCAGATATTTTTGTATATTACATATCTTCTCCTAATCCTAAAAGCACTTTTATATAATCAGAAACTCAATATTATTCTAGATCAAAATATAAAAATTAAAGAAGTTATAAGTATAATTTTTTTATTAGACCTAGCACTGCAATGCTTTTTATACAATTATTTCATTCCAAAACTTCTTAGCAAACTATGTAAATACTTTCTAAAAACTACTTTAAAATTTATATATCAAATTACAAACTAACTGCTATAGTTTTACCAATAATGAATTTCAGGCTGATATATATTACAAAACAACATCGATTTGGTTTTCACATTAAAATATATTTCTTTTTGAGAAAAACTACTAGCTTTAAATACTGATCTATTTCTCCTCAACAATCAAGAATTTCAAGATCAAATTGTTATCTAAAGAACTTCCAATTTATCTACTATTGCATTAGATAAATGACAAAAAATATCCAAACTACTTATGTTCAAGATGCTGTAGTGTCTCTAAGGACATTGTTCATTTATTAATTTGCATTCAGAATCACATATGGTTTTTAACTCTAATTAGACAAACAGTATACAAAACCTTACAAAAATTGAAAATACCATGTTTGCATCTAGATATTTTCATCAAAACATTTATTACTATACATATAACCAAACAAATACTACTAGAACTTATTACTAGAGACACATTAGCATCTTTTGATATAAATAATCACAAATAAAAATATGCTCTACTAATACATCATAATATTATTACTGCAATATACAAAACAATTTGGCTTGTTTTTAGGAAGTCAAATCATGATTCAATTCTTTCAACTTCTGCTCCAATACAGGCTTTGATATTATACAAAACTAAGCTATTGGCTCCATCTTTTATAAAAAGAAAACTAATTAAATATATAAACAATGGACAATCTTCTCAATACATTTTCTCAAAGACTAGAGGTTTAGTAATCATTCTAGCAAAAAATAGGTTGAGAGTAAAGTAGCTCTTATCCCCATCTCTCCTAATATAGGTTTTTCACATGTATCTGTTTTATATATGTACAATTGACTATAAATAAAAGAGATAGAGAATAGATCTCTCTTTAAAAAAAAATAAAAAATAAAATAATATAATTTTGTACTATATAAATAAATATAAAAATGTAATTTTTTTGTTAATTTTTTATCTTACACAATGTTAATACTTAATAATAATTAAAAAAAAAACAAAAAAATCAAACAATATTTATTAAATAAATTCAAATATTGTTTTATTTTAAAAAAATATATTTAAGAATTATAGATCAGACTTATAATATTAGTTATTTTATAAACTTAAATATCAAAAAAAAATTAACAAACTGCTTATTTGAAGATTTAAAAAGAGTTGATTTTTTAATTTTATTAAATAAACTAATCCAAAGAAGAATAGTAAATTTCATTATCTTTCATTATTGCTTTATTGTTATTAGAATAAGAATATATTTTAAAATAAAGAAATATAAAAATTTCAATAGTAACTATTTGTTATATACTTTGTAATTATAGTTTGATGTTAATAATTAAGAAAAAAAATCATATCTAAATAATAATTATCAAAAATAATATCTTAAATTTGCAAAAAAAATATCAAAATTGGATTATTGAAGGCTGATCTAAGGTAATTTGATTTGATAAAATATAATTTCAAATTTCTAAATCAAATAACAAGCAATACTAATAAAGTATTATAAAGAATTATTAAATTACTTTTATGTTAAACTTATAGTAAAATTTGAAGATAACTTAGTTATGATTTAGGATTGTTTTTTCTCTTGTAATGTTGGTAACTATTGCAAAATAGATGACATGATGAATGACAAGTTATACTGACAAATATATAGTAAAAATTTGATGTAAACTATTAGAAATCATAATTTTGATGTTGAGAATGTCATGTTCTAACAAGATAATGCATTTTGTTATATACACTGGTTCAAAATTTTTAATATAAAAGACCAATATATGTTAACTAGTTAGCCTATGAACAAAAACTAAACATCTCAAAAAATTTTTATAAATTTCAGCATCATCCCTGACATCTTATTGGTGATGTCACTTATACTGCAAGAGATCCACTTTAATATTAATTTTAATTATTTTAAATTCTTGCTCATTAAGCTTAAATAACATTTGGGTGATGCCAAACTTTGATCATATAAAATTATATGATCAAAATCTGGTTCTCTTTTGGCGTCACCCATTTAAATTAACTGTGCTCATACCTCATGCAAAGATTATTTATATAAGAGGACAATGTACTGCACATTTTAATGACATTTCATTATAACTACTTTTATAACGGTACTTTGTTTTCAATTTATTTGTAAATAAATTATTCCGCGATTATTTATATTTATATTTAATGAATAATTTCAATTAAGCCTTAAATTCATAACAAAATAACCTATATAATCTATAAACTCAAAGAAATCAAAAATACATTCTTGATACATAAAATTACAAAGTCTATTATAAATGATAAGTAAATGCTTTTTTTTTTCTTTTTTTAGTTTAACTAAATAAATGGAAGTTATCTAAATTACTATATTCGCCAATAGTGGCTCAAGTAGTGTACAAATTTCATTAGTTACAGCTTCATTTGTTGTACGGACAGTCAGTCGATACATCTAAACGTGATAAAAATTCATAAATTAGTTAAATGAGTGCTGTAGTTTACGTATTAATAATACGTACCTGAGCTTCAATATTAGGTTCTAATCGCATAAGACAGCCAAACATTCCACCTCCAGATGTATGTAAAACGCTGGCACCAACAATGTTTGTAGGATTTGGATCTACTTCTTCTAATATCTCAAATTTAAAACCTAAAATTATAGTTCGTGCACCTGAAAGATTTATTGGAGCACTTGAATGAAAAACGACTTGTTTTTCTCGGGGGCCAGCACCAATTTGTTTCCATCTCGCAAAGAACTCCGCTCCATTCAGTTGAATAGGCTCATTAAACTTTGGCAGGACAATAGGTAATTTTAATATAATTGTATGAAGTTTCCCCGAAATGAAGGACACAAGCACTTTTGGCATGTCAGTGAATATATTCTTACACTCTATGTGAAATAGTTGTTGAATTTGATTGGATTGCGAGATAATTGATGGTGGTGGTTGTGGTGTGGTAATTGTTAAATCTGAGATATTCTCGATGGAGGTGGTAAGAGAAGTAATGTTTGTCTGTGTTCTATTGATAAAGTACAATGCAAGCCGACCAAGGTTACCATGGTATTCTGATTTAATACCAATCATAATCTGGGTATCCTCATATAATACACCTTCCATTGTGAATAGCAGTCGATCAGGAACTTTCTTTGAACCAGATGCTATAGGCCCTGAGTTCGTTGTAATCAATTGGTCTCCATTACTAATTTTAAGTTCTTCAAAACTAACAAGGTCTATATCATTATTGCCATTCGTTTCATTCTTTACTTTATTATCCAATGAATTACTTCTATTTGTTAAAGTCAATCGAGCCATATCTCGTTCTTTGTTAGCATCTTTGCCACCAATAATCCATGTTCGTTTATCTTCAGTATCCGTGTGCTGTTGGTGCAGTCTCGATAGTAATGCAGATTCACGTTCGGGGAATGGTGGCATTTCTTCACAAACTGACTGCAAGAGATCATCATTCGGCATAGTTGCGATAGTTAAATATTCGGCAGCACGCTGTTGGAGTTCAGAATTCAACACATAGCGATACCGATAGAAAACTGTCAAAATTTCACCTTTAATCTCAGGAAAAAGGTTGATAAACTTAAAGTAAGTGGTTAAAAGTAACGCTCGTGTTTGAAGTGTACATAAACCAAATTTCGAATGAATAACACGAAATTGTTCTTGAGGGCTTGCTTCTGGTATATTAGTGATAAGGTGGCCGAATTCACCAAGAATATAACCACCCACTTTTACTAAGTTTTCATGACATGTAGGAGACTTTAGATGAGTGAACACAGTTCTCGCAGCATACTCTTGAAGTTCTTCATTATTAGTAACAATCTGCACTATGCGATACCACACTTCTTCGCCAACATGATCACCAGCAGTACTAATTAATTGTAAAATTATATCAACGTACCATTGGTATTCAGTGGCGAATTTTTCAGTCAAGATTGCAATCTTAAGAACCATTTCTTCTCGTAGGGCATAATCAGCAATATTAAGATACCGCAATAATTCAGAAACAATGACCTTGGCGTTAGTAACGTCACACATGCTATATAAAAGATCAAGTCCTCGACGTCGTACGCTGATATCCTTATCTCGTAATGATAATAAAATAGTATCTTGATGCTTTTTAATTGGTTCTAATGAATCCACACATGCAGCTAAATGAGCCATAGTTTCTAAGCCCAAATACCTTACGTTAGTTTCTTTTGATATTATGAATCTTCCAAGAAGAACGGCAGCCTGATTGACAATTTGCGATTCAGTATCTAAGTGGATTGCAAGATTAATCGCTTCAAATAATACAGCATTTTGAGCATTGTTATGCTGAACATTTTTTTGAGCTTCTTGAGAATTGTTGATTATTGTCTGGAGTATAACGTGCAGTTTATTTTGGATTTCGCGATCATCTGAAAAATAAATTCTTATTAGCCAGAATCGAGTAGAAAAATATATATATATAAATAAAAAACATACAATTTATTATTTAAATGTCCTACCAGAGGGCGGATAATACTGCAATAATCGAAGCAGCTTAACCTGTAACCAAGGAATAGGAACTTTATAATATACGTAATCAGGTGGATTTTCTTTGTCAACTATAATCTATAAATTAGAAATGAATGATAATAAGTAAATGATAAATAATTTATATAAGAACAAGTTTTTTTATTTTTCAAATGAATAAAACCTTTGATAATCGGTTAACAGCCTCAGCGTAACAACTCAAGTATGCATCTAGATTATCTTGCGCCAATGCCATTATTAAGCTAGTTACACACAATGTAACACCCTGTAAAAATTTTCAATAAGAAAAAGATATGAATTGCGCAGTTTTAAATAAATTTAAAATATAATTATATATAGTTGACATACCAAATCAGGTTGACCCATTAGCATAATAATCCTTTCCGCCCAATCAGCCGCGGGGATTACGTCGGGATGTTTTCTGTACAGACGTAAAAGAGTCAAAGCAGCTTTCTTCTTGACAAAACTTTTAGAATTACTATAAACATAAAATAAGAAAAAAGGTATGTAGATTTAAATAGGATGATTAAGAAGTTGATGTTTTGACATTAATTAAAATTAATTAAAATTACTAACGGGGATATTAAAAGGCGATGAACATCTGATGATAATGATTCAGCCATTTCTCTACCTCCAATGTTTGCAATTGCATGTAAAGCGAGGCAGTTATAGATCTCATTGAGTTCATCAAGATCTTTTCGTATTGAATTGATGACCAAACGAGTAAGATCACTGTTTTCATGCATTAGGAGAGTTACGCCAAGGTAGCCCTATATAAATAAGGACAAATAAGTGAGTAATAAATGAAAATGAGACAATAGAAAGGCGATTTAAGACTGACAATTTGTTTTTCACTGTATTTATTACTAGAAATTAGATTCACCGCCTCCATATGACCAAAATCGATATCCCACCCAAGTATATACATATATAAAAGTTTGCAAACATATTTTTTCTTTTGATAACCATTGAGATTACCGTCTATAAATGATTGATTTTTAGTAAATACTTTGTCTTTTAATTAGACGTTATAAGTTTCAGATGTACAAATTGTAAATATAGACATGCCTTTGAATTTGGAACGGATATTAGCCATCTCTTTATTGATCCTTTTTTCTTCTAATTCTCTCACTCTGCCTAAATTTTATAGAAAGCATAGAAAGTAATCAAAGATAATGTGTAAATCTATATTTGAATGATTATACTGTCTAGACAGGATACAATTTCTAATATCCGCGATAAACACGGTCAAGCCTCGCATACTACTTGACATGATTGCAGATTTGTGATCTATGGTGTATAGAGCTAAAAATGTATGAATCTAAATGTTTGAAGTGTTTTAAAGGAGTATTTTTTATAAACGTTTTGAAGTGGTTTAAAGTATATATTTATTATCAACCTTTGTAAACTTAAACAGTATATTGATATGATACAAAATTAATATATGTATAATGATCAGCATATCCTTATTAAGTCAAAGTTAATTTCTGACCCAGTAATCCGGCTTCTAATTTTAACCCAAAAAAATTTTCATGCACTCCGATTGGACATCAACCGATGCATTAGTTATATGTACGTACGTATGAGGCTAGCCAAATGTTCATTATACATACTGTAATACGTACACATACTATCAAACGTCCGATTTGTCACATCTAAAATTTTATCATATGATTACACAAATTTATGAATTTATTTTTCTTTAAAACCTTAGTAAAAAATATGCTATATTTCTTAAAACAAACTTATTGTTGAGATTTTTACAAGTAGAATAGTATTTTTTTTTTTTGGTGTTAAGGTGAGGTCTTTATTAGTAATTTTAATTGTACATATTAATATACTATATATTAAGATATATTAAGATTATAAAATATAAAATAAAAATTATTCCTCTTATAAAGTTGAACTAATGTTAATTCTTTCAGTTATTTCAACTACTTCTTACAACTCAACAATCAATATTTTCACTGATTCTCAGTCTATAATCACTAAATATTCTAAAATATATATTACTTTCTCAAATCACAACAAGTTTTTCAAATTTAGCTCATAATCTATATAATATATTTTACTTAATATTATCAAATTTTATAATCATCAGATTAATTTTCATAAAATATTAGTTCATTTTAATAATATTTTTAATAATTTAACAGACTCATTAGCAAAGTAATATAATTTATCATCTATATTATACTTTAACTATATAAATATCTATAATTCATATTATATAATCTTCTAGAACTAATATTTTATTAAATATCCAACTAGAAATTTTATTAAAAATATCTGTAAAATTTATATCTTAGTAATATAGTCTTCTTAAAAATATAATATGAAATAGAACTTTTTGATTTCTTAAATTAATTAGAGATCAACTTGGTTATATTTTAATTTTTTTTTTTATGATATTAAGATAAGATCTTGCTTATATCTTTATTAATAATTTTAGTTGTATATATTAATATACTATATACTAAGATATATTAAAATTATAAATATAAAATAAAAATTATATGTAAAAATTAAAACTTAGACAATTTTATCTATAATCTAAACTAATTATGATAGTTAAGGCTCATCTAGATTTATAATATTAAAATATAATTAAAAGATATATTGTGATTAATCTAAAATGTTGACCATATGTTAATTTTTTTAATAACTTATCCAATTAGTAGACATGTATTAGAATATAAATATAATTAATCTGCTATTTCATATAGATATAAGTAGGGTTCCTCAAAATCAAATCAA